AAAAGCTCTTGGAGGGATTTTTAGCTGTTTGGGTTTTCGGATAGCTCGTGGGAAGCGCATTGGGACAGCACACAGGCGATGTTGAACTGACTTTTTCTGTTCCTCCAAGACAGACTTTTTAATTTGCTTCGGTAGTTTAGAGTTCGTTTCCTTGAAAGTCTTTTTGGACCCATGAAAATGCCCTTGAAATGAGTCAAGTTTATCAAAATATATTGTGCACACCCCCATGCACCAGCCCACGTGTACGTGCATGTCTCCATGGGTGTGGGGTGTGTATACAGATAGAGAAACATATTATTTCCCAAAACATTCCTTTTTTTTTTTTTTTTTTGGGTTGGATTGGTTATTTTATTTGGGTTTGTTTCCCCCCAGCCCCCAGGATATTAACCAAAAGGTGTTTTAAAAGTCATGGCATGAAAACTCCTAAATGTAAATCTGAGTACCTTGTGATGCTAATTAACAGGTTTTTCCTGAAACTTTATGTGATGCTTAATATTTTCCTTAGGAAGTTTTGTTTAATGTTAGATCATTGTTCTGGAGGATGTTGGTCCTACTGGCATTAAACTAATGGAAATAAAATGCATGTGTTACAAGTGTAGAAACGGTGAAGAATTAAGTGTGAACTTACTGTACGATACTGATTCTGTTTTCAAACAATCTGTTTTGCTGTTCAATAGTTGACATATGGAAATGCCAATGTACTGTAATTTAGCACTTTTCCAGTGGACCCTGTTCTCACTATGCCCGAGGGAAGAAGCGGGTTTGGCTCGGGGCTGTCTGAGCTCAGCCCCTGAACCCTTTCTGTTTGTTTTGGCACCAGAACCGGCCAGGTAGAACTTCACTTGGAGGTTTTCTCATTGGTTCAGCAGCTGACATGAGGCAGAGGGGGGTGGTTCTCCATTTCCATGGCCAAACCAGGACCATTTTGCAACTTGGTCTGGTGAAAGCCATCCTTGCCCATGGCACGGAGGCTGGAACTAGACGATCTTTAAGGTCCCTTCCAATGCAAACCATCCTGGGACTCTAGGATTCTCTGATTTGGGTGCAGACCTCGCTGCGGGTGGATGGACTGGTGGCATCACATTCCATCACTGCATCTCCCCGGGAACCAGGCTGGGGCTGGACTGTCCAAGCTTGTGTGCTTGGACATCACAGTCCCTGAAATTCAAAGGCAGAAGGGATAACCCACCAGCCACCCCCCTCCAGCCCAAACCCCTCCTTTCCTAGTGTTAACAGGGTGCAAAGTGTTACTTGTCATGTACTGTACTGAAAGGGTTAATTGATCAGTGACTGTATTGTACTGTATGAAAACTCATGAATTGCCTTGTATTGTTTCTAATGGACTGTTCCATGTCTCCCCACTGCCTATTCCCAACCCACCCCCACGTTATCCAAAGGATGCATGTTCTCAGTTAGGTCCTCCAAACTCTCTGGTGCTAAACTCTTCCGTATCCGATGGTGCTTCTGCGGACACTAACTGACCACATGCCGATCCGGAGCTTGAAGTTCACCACGTCTTTCTTGTCTGTTTGTATGAAGTCTCTCACACACACACACACACACACACATGAGAAAAATTAAGGATAAACTTGAATTTGTTTCAAAGCCTCATTGACAATCTAATGTTTTCTATGTCTGCTTTTATTTGGGATGGCTTTTCTAGAAAGCAGCGCGCCAGCACCTTCTCTCCGGGAGGGGATTTCATCCTGTTCACTCCTTTGGCATCCCAGGTGAGCTGCTCCCTCGCTGGCTTTGCAGGCTCGGAGGAGGTTGATCCATCAGGAGCCAGCGAGGAAGAGGAGGTGCAGGTGCCTGAAAAGATGCCCAGCCCTAAAAAGCAGCCGGGATCCCTGGGACTGCCCCATCTGTATGTAGGTAGGTGGGCACTGAGGGTCTCAGAGGGGATGAACCCAGGCCTTGCTTTGTGGCAAGGCCCTCCCATTTAAGGAGAACGGAAGCAGAAAATTGGGGTCCCAAAGGCACTTCCATCTCCTCCTGGCATCACTCATCTCTGCTGGCCTCCTGAGCCTGAGGCTTTGCAGGTGACACTCACCTCGGATGGCATGAACAGGGACATCCCCTCCCAACTCCCCCACCCCAACGCGAGCTGCTTTTTGGACAAAAGAAAATCTGACTATATTTTATATCGATTTGAAAACAAAGTCTGATATTTACCCCTGTTCTCAACTGAATTTGCATATTGTTGTTTGCCACGATATTTGTTCTGTCTTCAAATAAATTTGCTTACTTGTGTAGTCTTAACTGTCTGCTCGGATTCTTACACTCGGATTTATCCCTGCTCTGAGGTGCCTGCACTGTGACTTCCCTTTGGATACCTCCCATGGAGGAGAGAAGGAAATCTGCCTGGGAGGAGGAAGCATTTGCAGGCTGTAAATGTTTCTCTCTCCGTTATCTCCCATTCATCTCCCTGGGGCTTTTCAATTTGATGCCTTTTTTTTCCCCTGGTCTTCCATCATCAGATCCTCCTATCCGGGTGAGTGCGTGGCTTCAGCCCTGCTTAATTTAAGAGATTGAATTTTTCAGTGGGTGAGGCATTTCCGACGGCAGCCAGCGTTTTGCATCTGGGAATGAAGGGATTTATGGCTGCGAGCGGCCGAAAGCTCTGGGCATCGGCGTCGGCATCCAGCGCCGGCTCTTCCTGCACATTGCATTAGCAAGGAGTTGGCATCAGTCACCGGAGACGTCTCGGCGGAAGGCAGTGCCCTCAAACGGCTGGAAAACTGATTTGCACATGCGTTTCCAGGGAAGTAATCAAATCAGCCAGCAGGTTCAATAAAAGGAATAAGCAAATATTCCAGATTTGCCTGCGTTTGCGAACAAAACCTGTTGCAAGACTCGCAGGTTTTTGAGGTTCCTCCCCCTCCCCCCAAAAAAGCTGTTTTGGGATTAAAATTGTTGCAGGCTGCTGCAGGAGGACATTTTATATTCCCTAAAAGACATAGCTATATCTGAGAGGAACAGTTCAAGTGGATCCATGCTAGGGTTTGTGCTGTCACCCTCCTTCCTTTCGGAAACCATCCCTGTGCATATGTTAGGGCCACAGAGTCCATTTATCCCCCTTCTCCTGGCACTGTCCCTCCTCTTTGGCTTTCATCCCCTCTGACCTCTCTCCAGCTTTTTTTCCCAGTTTATCAAGGTTTTGTAGATGTTTCCTGCTGCTTCCCGCAGTACAAGCAGCCCTGCCCATGGTGATGGACGCCAGCACGGGAAGGAGGGACAGAGATGAATCCTGTGGGAAGATGCTGGGAACAAGAAGCCAGGCTTCATGGAGGGACCTGCCAGGTATGTCTGCCTCCCATCCTCAGCCAAAATGTGGTGTCTGCATCCCAAAATGTGTTTTAGGGATCCCCATCCTTGTGGGACTTGCTACCCCTGCACACTCCCAGAGGGTCAGGTGCCCCGGAGCAGCTTCCCCTGGATTTGTGCACCCTCAACTGCTGGAAGAAGGAAAAACTTCACTGATTTACTTTATCTATTCACTGTAGGGTCGGGTTTTTTTCCTTTCTAAAACACAGGAGTACCCTTAGGAATCCAGCATTCTTTGGGCAGCAGGGTCTAAGCCCAGGCAATGGTGGTGGCTGTGGGTAATTATTTTCTGATTTTGTTTCGCTTGCATTTTGTATCTCACCCTAAAAGACCAAGTTGCAGTGGAAAAATCACAAAAATAAGAAAGCAAGGTACCCCGTGAGGGGTTTAATGTTACACAACCAGCATTTATTTATTTTTCGTGGCCTTTTATGCCACTTTCACCAGCATTGACGTTTTAGAAGGTTCTAGCACAGAAATGGTGAGATTTTAGAGAAGGTGGTGGAAAATCCACACACTAAAAGCTGGAAAGCCCCAGGGCCTCAGGGCTGTTGCAGGAGAGATCTCTGGGAAAATTATGACAAAAGAAGAGAGAGAACCAACCCAGCACCACAAGCAAATCTCATTTCTGGACATGGAAGTGGGAGTCTGGTGAAGCCCAAAATTCAGAGGCCAGAGCCAGTGGCTCAGGAAGCTGTAGGGGTAGGAAGATTTATTGTCCGCTGCCATGCTGGAGGATTCTCCTTATCCCAGGGCCACTCTCTGCTGCAGCGTCACAAGCATGGGCAATATGGTTAAAAATAATCCTCTGGAAACAAATCAGCAAATAAAACATCCACGGGTGTGTGGATGGTTCCTGGCAAATGTCTTTCCTGGGAACTGGAATGGCAAATGATGGATATGTAGAAGAGTAGCTACAAAATTGTATGCTATATATATATATATATGCTCTTTTTTACTTTGCTAAGTGTTCCAGACTGTAGCAGTGAATGATTACATCATTATCACGATATTACTATTCCGTTTTGGTACAGAGGAGACAGTAAAGCAAGTGAAAAATTGCAGAAGATAAATGAAGAGCAGTGGGTGGAAATTTGTGCAGGTCAGTCACAATTTAGGGCTGAGGGCGAGATGGATCGAGTACCAGACTGTAAGCAAACATATTAATCTTTATTGCTTATTGCACCGTAATCACGTGCTGCGTTTGGAACATCACGGTACGCGTGCCCAATGGTACGTCACAGGAATATAGCGAAGGCAATTAGTAACACACTTAATGAGAGGGATTTTCATACATTCCCAAAGTGAACAACTGCCCTGCCGGCAGCGCTTGGCGCTCGGCACCCGCAGGGGCGCAGAAGCTTGTGATTTTATTTATCCTTTCTCCTTAGAGGGAGCGGAGCGTTTAATCCACTTTTCCTCGGAACGGCACGGCTTTCTCCAAAGGGATCGGAAGGGCGGGAGCCGTCAGAGTAGGGAGGGAGGGGCGGGGCGGGGCGTCATGGGCGTGGCTTCGGCGAGGTGGGCGTGGCTCTGAGGGGCGCGGGGCGGGGCTGGCGCTGTGGGCGTGGCCTCGCGGGGGAGCGCGCGGGGCGCGGCTCCGAGTGGGGACGCGGCGCGCCGGAAGCGGTCGCGCGCCCGCCCTGGCACGCGGCGTGGGCGTGCCCGGAAGTGCGCAGCAGCAGCAGCAGCAGGAGCGGCGGCAGGCGGGGGCGCCGCCATTACGCGGAGCGCAGCCGAGCCGAGCGGGCCGCGCGTCCCCGGCCGCCGCCGCCGCCACCCACAGGCGGGCCCGGGCCGCGCGGGGCCCGCCCGCACCCCGCCATGGAGGAGAAGGGCTTCGCCAAGGAGCTCGACCAGTGGATCGAGCAGCTGAACGAGTGCCGGCAGCTGAGCGAGAGCCAGGTCCGCAGCCTCTGCGAGAAGGTGAGTGCGGGGCCCGGACGTCGGGGGAGCGGCGTGGTGCCCGTGGGATATCGGGCGCTGGGAGGCGGGGATGGGGCCGCGGGGATGTCGGGCGGTGGGAGAGCGGGCTGGTGACTGCGGGATATCGGGCACTGGGAGACGGGGATGGTGCCTGGGAGGTGTCTGTCATCCTGGTATCCTGCACAACGTGTCGTAGCCCCGTGCTGAAAAATCAGCCCCAAGTCAGCGAGGAGACCCCGTGACATCCAAGGTGGGGTCTAGGGAAGCAGAGCGGGTCAGAGGTGAGACCTAAAGAGATCCTCGGAGCCTGCTGAGGGGGACCGAAATAGAAGAAGGAATGGTCGGATAAAGGACACCGTCTGCAGTTCCGGGCTGTGGTTTGGACAGCCCTTGGCAAATGCCGGCTTGGATTGGTTTAGTGGAGACTGGCAGGAGCCTTTTTTCTTTTTTTTTTTTCAGTCAGGAGAAGGATTCTTAGACTGGTGTTGGGTTTTGTCTGAGAAGCCCAATAGCTCTGTGTGAACACTCCCTCCACATTGCAGACTGTGACCGAGTGAAGATTTTCCTTGGCAGATGCTTCCAGCAGTGATCCTGACTCCTATGTCACCCCCACTCTGCCTCTGTTTCCTTTCCTCCTTCCCCTTTTCCAATCCCGTGTTGGGAGCTTTGTGACTCTTTCTCCAGAGCTCCGTCGTTTCCAAGGATGTTTGGGAAGCTGGAGGGCAGTGCCAGCAGACTGTGGCTGTGCACGCAGCAAACAGGGAGAGTGGCAGCTCAGTTTGAGGTGGGGGAGGTGTTTGTCCTCCAGGTGACAGGTAGGTGTGTCATCTGTCACAAGCACCTCGTACTTCCAGGGTGCTGGAAACTGATGGAAAGGACTTGGACGTGAAGGAAACACTGTGCTGTGCTCTGACTTGGCCTGTTTAAGTTTTTGGGAGTGGTTTTGTCACCTGGGAGAGAAGCTTACAAAAACCTCTGGGTGTGCAGCCCTGTCACAAAGCTGGTTTAGTTGGTTTCCTTGAAATAATATTTGGGGAAACCCTTTTCTCACTTCTTAGCATTCCCTTTTTTGGGACTGATTCCGAAGAGGCCAAGCACAGGTTTAAATTTGTGGAAGAATTCGGTACTAAAACAAAAAAATCAAAATGAAGTGGGGAAAAAACCCAAAATCCCAGAGTTACCACGCGTGTCATTTTTAATTACTGGCATAATGGACAGAAATGAGGGAAGGATTGGACATGGCTAGGGGTGCAGGTGAGGGACTTGAGAGTCATCCTGCTTAATCTGGGGAAAAGGGTTTTTCACCAAAATAATGGAATGAGATATGTAAGAAGGCAAGGAGAAGTCTGTCTCCTGAATTAAACAAGCAGTCCTCCATAACCATCCCTCTCCTTGTAGCTTTCTTTCCTGCCCTTGTTCTTTGGAGGTATAAGAAGGGCCACAGTCTGGTTGCGTGAAATTCCCAGTGTTGTGTTGAGTCACGGTCAGGAATGTTTCATCTCTCCGTCTCTGCTCTCCAAGGATCTTGCACACAAACCACCCCAGGAGCTGGGATGATGGGCAAGCTCACAGCCAGCAAACAGTCTGCTCTTCAAAGTCACTTTGAGCACAGACATGGCAACTCCTGTTTAGGCTTATTTAATAAAAACACCTGAAAGCTGCTGCTTTTCATCCTGACCTGGATATGGTTTTCATCCAGAACAAGTGGGACAGAGATGCTCAGGAAGCTGATAATGTTAGTCACTGTTTTCTACAGCAAAGGTAGCTAAGATTTGACTTTTAAGTCATAGTTATTTATCAGCCTCCTGAAATAAATAAGTGATGACGATGCCAGGCAGCCTTGCCTGAATCAGAGATTTTTATTCTTGTTTTTTAATGGTGCTTTTGGTTATTTTAAGTCATTTGATATCAGTGCTCACTCTGCACAGTGCAGGCGGATGCACTGGGTAGTTATTGCTTTTCTGGGTTGTTTTTTATCGATGCTGAAGATTCTGAAGGTCTCGAAAGTCATCATGTGAGGGCCAACTTGGTCTCCTGAGCCCAACTTAAACCAGCTCTGCGGAGTTAGAATGCCAGGCTGGGTCTCTCCACGGGCATGGATGTTTGTCCGCAGGGTGAGCTAAAAAGGGCTGCACGGGAACAGCTGGTTGGCAGCGTAAGGAGCTGCTGCTCATCAGCTGCCAGCTCCTCCCTTCTCGTGAGGGGAAACTTCTGGATCCTCCTGGTTTCAGAATTTTGGGACCTGGGCTGGCCTGCCTCCCTGGGCTGGATTTAAGGTGGGCATATTTGCCCTGTTCCTGCGGAAGGGGAGCTGTGCTGAGCTCCAGCTTCCAACTGAACGCCAGCCTGTTGCTGTGTGCAGCAGTCGGAACACACGGAGCAGCTGCTTTGTGGGTTTATATTTGTCTCTCCCCGAGGGTGGAAGCTCTCCAAAGGCACTATAAATGCTTTTAAAGATGTGTGAGCAGAATCTGAGTGCTACTATTGCACTCAAATACAACACATTCAGCAGTTCCCAGGCGGGTTAGGAGTGCAAGGCAGACCCCACGTCATCGAGTCCATGTGCAGGATGTGACTTTTAGGATGAGGGTCACATCCCTCGGGTTATGTTCCCTGCAAGGGGCACGCTGGATTCTCTCCAAGCTGTCCAAACTGCTTGAGGTTTAGTTATTCCTTCCAAATAGAAGCTTTGGAAGGAATAGGCAAGACAGCAAACACTGGAATGGGAACACAGTCATCCTTGGAGAGCTCACTGAGGGTATCCTCAGGAAGCAGGTCCTTCCTGGCAGCAGCAAGTGGGAACTACCTCATCCTGAGCTAAGGGATGTGGCAAGGAATGCCTGGATCATCACCTGCTGGTGACTGCTCAGCGCTGGTGATCCTCCCTCGCTTTTGTTGGGATCAGACCAAGGCAACCTGGGATGTTCCCTGTGCCTCCAGTGTGCCTGGAGCGCTGATCGGCATCAGTCGGCGAGCTGGAGGCAGCACAGCAAACCTGGTGTTTGATAAAGATAATAAGGTGGTGCAGATAGGCTACATTACATGGCTGTAATTAGCAGAGGAGCTGCTGGGTGTGGAAGAAGAGATGACTAAATCCATGGATGCCATCCCTCCATCTGTGGCCGTTTTGTTGCCAGCTGGGTATGGCCAGGGAAGCTGGCTGGAGCTCCGTATGTTTCAATTGCCCCTCACTCTGCTTTTCCAGTGGTACGTGACTTGCTTTTAGAAGTTACTATACTGCTGTGCTTTGAAGAGGATTGGAATTCCAGCAGGAAAAAAGTGCCCTGGGCGAGGGAATCTGGCCTTGCCATGACAGACCTGCTTGTCCTTGTGCACAGGGATTTGTGAAACACACCTTGTCTGTCCTCACCCACCAAACTGTGGTCAGCTTTGAGCTGTGCAGGTGAATCTGGCTTTCCGGTGGGAATGCAGGGGAATACCATCCGCACCCGCTCTTGGAAAAGCTTTCTACCTTTGTGACTTAAATGTGTTTTTCTTGCCAGGCTAAAGAAATCCTTACGAAAGAGTCGAATGTGCAAGAGGTACGATGCCCTGTCACCGTCTGCGGGGATGTCCACGGGCAGTTCCACGACCTCATGGAGCTCTTCAGGATCGGCGGGAAGTCACCGGACACAAATTACCTGTTCATGGGAGACTACGTGGACAGAGGCTATTACTCCGTGGAGACAGTGACTCTCCTAGTAGCGTTGAAGGTATGGTGTGAGAGATTTGTGGCAAAACCTGTGGTTTTGGGGAGTTTGGAATGATTTGCTCCAGAGACTCTGGAGCTGACTTGAGGTCAGCAGATGTAAATTGATAGGCAGCAATGGACACGTGCTGGGCACAGAGCTGAGCGCTTGGCTGCTGTTTGCAGTATTCCATTACTGTTTCTTTCCATGCCTCTGGTGCAGTTCCCTTGTTTAAGGAAGCGTTTCCTTTGTTCCCCAGGTGCGCTACCCGGAACGCATCACGATCCTGAGGGGCAACCACGAAAGCAGGCAAATCACACAAGTCTACGGCTTCTACGACGAGTGTCTGCGCAAGTACGGCAACGCCAACGTCTGGAAGTACTTCACAGACCTCTTTGATTATCTCCCACTCACAGCTCTAGTAGACGGCCAGGTAAGCCTTGGAGGAGGAAAACACTCCATTCCACAGGGTTCTGCTGGCTGGATTGTCTGACTACCATGAGAACAGTCCCAGACCAGCTCCCTTAAGTCGTGATGCAAGGGCTGTGGTTGCAAACAGAGCTAAAAGCAGCTGTTTTGGAGATCATTCTTAGCAATGTGTTCTGAATGGATTGCTGTGGTTTTTTTTCTGGAACAGATATTCTGCCTCCACGGTGGCCTCTCTCCATCCATAGATACACTGGATCATATCAGGGCTCTGGACCGCCTGCAGGAAGTTCCACACGAGGTAATAGGAAAGGAAATGCCTCAGAAACTTCAGTAATGCAAGTGTATCCTCACACTGAAATCCATTTAAACACAGTTAAACACGGATTACGGCCTTTCCAAAAGCCAGAGCAAATGAATATTTAGGCAAAGCACACCCAAGTCAGTCTGCTTTGATTACAGCAGCCTACGAAAGGAGAGCTGTGGGGGTTTCACAGCTGTCTTCCACAGAATCAGGATTTTTGGACTGTCAGGCTGACTCAAAGGACATTATTTGTCAGGGGAAGGTGTTTTCTACCTTCAGCCTCATCACAGAGGTGGCTGTGAACTGACAACCACCCTGTGAAGCCACATTGTGTAACCGTCCTTCCCTCCCACTGGCCAATTCCTCCTTCGGTGGTGTTTTCATCCTTGTTGGTCACTTCCTGGGGGCCTGAAACCAGGACTGAAAAACCACCTTTGGAGCTCCCAGGGCAGCTGGAAGTTGTGTTGGAGTGGCTGGGGCTTGTGAGTGTGTTCTGAGAAGGACGTGCTGGGAGTCTTGTTACTGCAAATAAAACACATTTAACAGTCTTGGCAGTGATCTAACAACGCTTAATCTTTCCCAAGGGTCCGATGTGTGATCTGTTGTGGTCGGATCCGGATGACCGCGGTGGCTGGGGCATATCTCCACGTGGTGCTGGCTACACCTTCGGGCAGGATATCTCCGAAACATTTAACCACGCCAATGGTCTCACACTGGTCTCCCGCGCTCACCAGCTGGTCATGGAGGTAGGGCAAGCACTCTGCTAGCCAGGGCTAACCAAACAGGGGCCGCTGGTGTCTCCTCTCTGACACCTATCCGCTGGTGGGTTTGTTGACACCTAAATCTTAGACAGGTAAGTGCCAAGGAGAGGCTTTAATCATGTGAAAACAACAAGCAACATAAAATTATGTGTTTTGTCCCACAGTGTAAATAAGGGATGTCCTGCCCTTTCCAAGTAAGTGGCCCCCTCCTAGTCAATTGCCAAAGGGACCCTGTCACACCCTGTTTGTGGCAGGAATAATCTCCTTACATCCTGACAGCTCTACTTGGACTGCTGTTGTATCCAGCAGCCTGCCCCATAATCCTCAGATGTGACTGAGATTAACAGCCATTTTTGGCTGTCGACAGGCTATTCTTGGATGTCTTGCTGGAAAACTGCCAGGTGGGTCAATGGAGCAGATGTATTTTTAAAATCTGCTGCAGGTAGATCCCTTAAGCAGTACTGTGTGTCTCAAGTCACCCGCATCCAGCAGGCCGATTGTCAGTGGTGGTGGATGAAAGCTAAAGGCTTCCCTAGAAATCTCAAGGCTTTTCTTGTGGTACAGTCCATAATTTGTATATAAAATGGATAAACACACAACTGAGGAATGGATGATCTCCTGGGGAGTGCTCGAAGCTGGTTTTGCCAGGTGCCTACTAGCTGCTTCTTGCAGCAGAGCACATATTTTGAAATGAAACCAAGTCAGTTGGAAATACTTAAGGAAATCTCTAGTTTCACAAGTGCCCTTGGAGCATTTCAGGCCTGAAGAGGAACTTCATACAAGCTGAGGTTTAACAGAGACATTTTCTTTCTCTCTCTCTCTCCCTGGCAGGGTTATAACTGGTGCCACGACCGGAATGTGGTTACCATTTTCAGTGCCCCCAATTACTGTTACCGCTGTGGGAACCAGGCTGCTATCATGGAACTAGATGACACTTTAAAATATTCCTTGTGAGTACCCTGGCTTGGGCTGTTCTCTGTTCCTAACAGGTCTTTGAGGAATGTCTGATCCTTTCCAAAGGGGTTCTCCATGAAAAGCCAGCTCAGACCTCTCTGGAATTAACATCATTTGCTCTACCCTAAAAATAAGTAGTGAATTAAGCTCCTAAAAGCTCCTCTTCCTAGCTGGCTTGAGTGTTGGAGCTTCTGCACTTTAATCCCTCTACTGCCCAGTCTTGATGGAGAGAGTAAAAACATCCAGATTTATGTATTTGTTTTAACTTTTAGTAGCATGAGCTTTGTAAAGATGGGTGAGAGGGTCTGAATTTTGTGCTCACGTGAAAATGGGGATGGGCTGTAAGCAGCAGTTTGACCGACTGATGAGTTTTAACTCCCATGGACACTCGTTTTGGGACACGAAATGTTTTATGTGGAAGCAGCTGGGATGAGTGAAATGATAGCAGCAGGAGAACAGGTCTGGTATTTATTGTGGCATTGGAAAATGGCTTGTGGAGGAGGGTGAGTGATCCCTTTCTCTTCCCTGCAGCCTCCAGTTTGACCCAGCACCTCGTCGTGGAGAGCCTCATGTTACCCGTCGTACCCCAGACTACTTCCTATAAACCTTTCCCAACCTTTGTAGAAGGAAGTACACCTGGCATTTTAAGAAAAAAAACAAAAAGCAACAATATTTACACGTTTCTGTAAGAAATCAGGGTTCGTCTCAACTTCAAATCCCCATCATGGACCAAAATGTGCCATACAGAGGACGAAGAGCGTTTAGCACAACTTGAGACTGAATTCCTTACAACACTTTCTCTCTCCCGTGCCCATCAGCCCGAAAGTCAGTTTGCCTGCTGTATTTGTAGTCATTGTTTTCCTTCTGGACTGTTCAGAGAGGAAAAGGTAACTCTAACAAACACTTCATCTCTCCTTTGAAGCTTCTTTGTACATTTTTAGTTCTAGTGTTTAACTGGCATGATTTAGAGTTTGTTTTCCAGGGAAATACACACTAACTCCATCCCCCACCACTCTTTATTTTATTGGAAAGACCGCTCGACTTAACTGGAGAAAGGAAGTGATTCCTGCTTGGGAGTATGTTGTCATAACCCGGAAAAAAAGCGTTCCCATTTTAGCTCCCCTGTTCTGTGCTGATCCTGCCCTTTTTTTTTTTTTTCTTTTTCCTTTTTTTTTTTTTTTTTTTTTTTTTTGGTTTATCTTTTCTCCCTTTTTTTTTTTTTTTTTTTGTGTGTCATTTTTCCCCCTCATCCCCTCTGTATATTTGTCCCGGAAGTGCTTGCAAATCCTCCTCGCTGTACCCGAACCAATAAACGCCGTTGTCAGCCCCAGTCCGTGGTGTCGTGCCGGTCCGGGGCGGGGAGCGGGGCGGGCACCAGGGCGGGGGAGCGGGGCGGGATGGGGCGGGCACCTGGAGCGGCCCCGGGGCGGAGCGGCGGTGTCGGAGCGAAGCGGGAGCGATGGCGGCGGTCGCGTACGAGCTGCTGGTGCTGGGAGGGGGCTCCGGGGGGCTGGCGGGGGCCCGGCGTGCGGCCGAGCTGGGGGCCCGCGTCGCGCTGGTGGAGCCGCGGCGCCTCGGCGGCACCTGCGTGAGTCACTTGCGTGGGGACCCGCGGCGGAGGGGCGGGTGGCGCGGGGCAGGGTCCGCCAGGCTGGCCCCGGTGCCCCCGGCGGTGGTCGCGGTGCCCCCGGGGGTGGTGGTGGGGCGGGGAGCCGGAGGGAAGGAATCGCCCTCCCGTACTGGGAGCGTTCCGCAAGGACCCGCCTTGTCATGCCGAAGCCGGACCGATCCCAATCCCCCCCCTCTCCATTTGCTTCTTCCCGGCCGTTTCCAAGCCGTTCTCAGGTCGGTAACGTGGATCCTGCGTCTGTGCAGCAGAACTGGAAGGCGGCTAAGCAGAGCCCATGGGCACGGCGAGCCGGTAACAAGCCTAAAAACAAGCTTGTTCCTCAAACAAGCCAGGGACAGGCTCTAGTTTTATTCCTTGAGTGCGCTCTGCTGGAAATATTGTCATACTAGGATCAGAAGTGCAGGAAGGGAATGGCAGACACCTTTGTCCCAGGAAATCGCTTTTAAATGATCACTGGAAAAAAACCCCTGTGTTTGAAGGCTCCACCTTCCCTGTTCTCTTTCAAGGAAGTGAAGGAAAACAGTCAAACCGCAAGACCTTGAGGCGCCCGAGGGAGTTACACCCCTTTTTTGCCAGGAACCCATAATCCCGCCTTTGTTTTCCTGAGCAGAGAGCTGCGATGCAGCACCAGCCTGCTGTGGGATGTTCTCCAGAGCGTTGACTTTGGAAAACTGAGCCTTAAACCTGAGTTTCATTCTTATTCCCCCCGCAGGTCAATGTTGGGTGCGTGCCAAAGAAGGTAAGGGTGTTTTGCCACTGGCTCTGGTGGCACCTCCGGTGGCTTGGGTTGGGTCTGGTGTGGCTGCCTGCCAGATTGCAGGGAGGTGCTGGCACAGGGAGTGGGGAGGAAGCAGGGCCTCAGAGCATGTGTCCTGTGGGCTGCTCCAGGCAGGTGTGAGGTATGGGGAAGTGTGTGTGTGTGTGTGGGGGGGTGGTTTCCCAAGATCAAACTGGTCTTCCCGAGCCAACGTGTGGTTTGTGCGGGCAGGTGATGTGGAACACGGCTGTCCATGCAGAGTTTATCCATGATCACGCTGACTACGGCTTTGAAACACCTGGTGTCAAGTTCAGCTGGAGGTAAGAATGGAAAGAGCCAGTTGGAAGTGAGCATCTGCCATTGAGCATCACTTGGGGAGCAGCCACAGGTCAGCACCATAGCCCTGTGGCTCATTATCCACCTCAAAGGGGTCCCTGCCTGCTTTGAGGCTTCCCATGGGTGGATGCAGAGCTGATTACGTGCCTGTATTTTGGAAAAGAGGGGTGGCACACTGGCTGTGGGAAGAGGAGGCAGGCACAAAAACCTCAGCTTGGTGGGGAAGGGATCACAGGGGGCTGTTTCATTTTGTGGCATGGATATAATGTACCAAAGGGGTGGAGTTCACAGAATCATTTAGGTTGGAAAAGACCTCCAGGATCACCGGAGTCCAACCTTTGACCGATCATCACTTTGTGAACTAGACCATGGCACTAATTGCCACATTGTTATCCCTGAGCTCTGGAGGTTTGTCTGCTGATGCTGACAGTACTCCCTGCTGTTCCAGAACCATCAAGGAGAAGCGTGATGCGTACGTGCGGCGCCTCAACGACATCTACGAGAGCAATCTAAAGAAGGTGAGCGTGGGATGTGCTCATACTGTAGGCCCAGTGGGAAAGTGGGCTCTGATGGATTTTTGGCCACTTTTCCAGCCTTAATGGGTGTCCTCTCTTCCAAACGTGGGAGCCCTGGCTCCGTTAGCTGTCTCCTGCACCCCATCGTTCTGTTAATCCCATAACTGTTACCCTCCCTCAAAGGCTCATGTCGACATCATCCGGGGCTATGGCAAGTTCACCGCTGATCCTGAGCCAACCATTGAAGTGGATGGGAAAAAGTACACGGCCCCTCACATCCTTATAGCCACAGGGGGGCACCCAGCCGTCCCTTCCGACAGCGAAATTCCCGGTGAGCCTGCTGAAATTCCCCGGGAGAGGGGTCTGCCAGAGCAAAGTGTGTTCGGGGAGGGGAAGTGGGACAGGTAAGGGGTGTGAAAGGGGCTCTGCTTTGCAGGTGCCAGCCTGGGGATGACCAGTGATGGCTTCTTCGACCTGGAGGACCTGCCCAGGTAAATTGGGGCTCACCCCCCGTATCCACCAGCTCCGGCTCCATGTGCCTGGACACGGCATCATCACTTCTCCGCAGGCGCAGCGTTATTGTGGGGGCTGGATACATCGCGGTGGAGATCGCGGGGATCCTTTCCACGCTGGGCTCCAAGTCATCCCTGCTGATCCGCCACGACAAGGTAATGCCACCCACTGTCTGTCCTCAGCCAGGCAGTCACATCCCAGCAGCCCACCAGGGTTTTCTGCTTGTCAGCTCCTTGTAAAGAAGAGTCTGAGTTGGCACGGGAATGATGATGCAGAGGATGGTGGCATTGGGCTGATGGGTGTAAGGGGGGGCTGGAGGGGGGAGCCATGTTTTGGCAGCACCAGCCTTTGTGCCTGGAATTTCTGCAGCCGTGTGTGCCACCGCACCCGTTCTCTTGAGCTTTATTTCAAGTCACAACTTGAAAAGAGGATTAAAGGAAAAGAAAATAATGGAGAAACAAACAGAGAAGTTTAACCAGGAGCAGCCCAAACCTCTTGGGTCCCAGGAGCAGGGAAACGCTGGCGGAGGGGCTGCCAGGCAGTGCCTTCACCTGCAGACCCTCATCTGACAGGTTTGGGGGGTGGTCTCTGCCCAGGTCCTGCGGACCTTCGACTCCATGATCAGCTCAAACTGCACCCAGGAGCTGGAGAACACCGGGGTGGAGGTCTGGAAGCACACGCAGGTATGAATGTGCAGAGCAGCCCTGTGGTTTATCCCATTCCTCCTGGAGAGGCGGGGCTGGGGGAAAGCTGCCATTTTGGGTGCTGCCTGATGAGCCACAGTTTTGGTGACATTCCTGGTTTTGCAGCAGAGCTGCAAGGCTAAAGCCAGCGGCACCATCTTCTCCTGAAGCAGCTCCCGCTTTTCCCCACAGGTCAAGGCTGTCACCAAGTCCCCTGGTGGGCTGCTGGATGTGAAGGTGACCTGCGCGGTGCCCGGCCACAAGCCGACGGAGGGAGTGATCCGGGATGTGGACTGCGTGCTGTGGGCCCTGGGGCGGAAGCCCAACACTGAGGAGCTGTGCCTGGACCGAGTGGTGAGGTGGCAGCACGCCCTTTCTGTGCTGGTGTGAGGGTGCCCACAGGTGTCCCACAGGACTCCAGGTGTCCCATGGGTATTCAGGGCTCCCACAGCCTGTCACAGGGTGATGCTCCCACCATTTCCCCCCTCGCCACCAGCACCATTCCCCCCATGGGCATGGCTTGTCCTGGAGTACACTCTGATGTAGCTGCTGTTTCCCATGGCAGGGCGTGCAGGTGGACGCCCAGGGCCACGTGGTGGTGGACGGGTACCAGAACACCACCAGGAAAGGGGTCTACGCCATCGGGGACGTCTGTGGGAGAGCCCTCCTCACCCCAGGTACTGCGGCCGTGCCCCACCCTCCCCTCCAGAGCCCCTCAGAGCCACGCCGTTGCTCAGGCTCCCTGTCCCTCCCTGCAGTGGCCATTGCAGCTGGCAGGAAGCTGGCCCACAGGCTCTTCGAGGGCAAGCAGGATTCCCGGCTGGACTACAGTAACATCCCCACCGTCGTCTTCAGCCACCCGCCCATCGGCACCGTGGGACTCACCGAAGGTGGGGACAGACAGGGCGTGGGGGGGAGTGAAGGGGCTGGGGACGCCGTGGCTCAAACCTGCTGCTCTGATGCTCGAGGAGGGGGTTTGATCTCTGGCAAGTGGATCTGAGCCTTGAGAAATGGGCTCGAGTCCCTCTTTGTAAATGCACACACTGTGCCTTCTGCTGCAGAGGAAGCCGTGGCTGCACACGGGAAGGAGAACGTGAAGATCTACAGCACGTCCTTCACCCCCTTGTACTACGCTGTCACCCAGAGGAAGGTGAAGTGCCTCATGAAGCTGGTGTGTGTTGGCAAGGAGGAGAAGGTGAGTGGAGGGGACCAGGGAGAGGTAGCTGGGTGTCAGTGGGCACCAGAGCTGGCTGTCGTCTTGTGGTCAGCTCTGACCTGCCCACCCCAGGCCTGGGGTCAGAGTTCAAGCCTGGATTTTGGCAGTGCTGAGTCCCACCCGGTGTCTCCCTTTCTCCCCAAAGGTAGTGGGATTGCACATGCAAGGGATGGGGTGCGACGAAATCCTGCAGGGCTTTGCCGTGGCCATCAAAATGGGGGCCACCAAGGCCGACCTGGACAACACCGTGGCCATCCACCCCACTTCTGCCGAAGAGCTGGTGACGATGCGCTGAGCCAGCAGGCACAGGCACCCCCAAGGGTGGCAGCTGCAGCTGGAAAAAAATGTTTAATATGTTTTTAAAAGTGCCTTAGCGCCGGGTGGGTGCCTGGAGAGCATTGTGTGCGAAGTTGGTGTGGTTGCTTTGGGGTGAGAAATAAATACAGTGATGCTGGCGAGTCTCTGCCTTTTGGTGCCTTGTCTCCCAGAGGTGGCACAGTCCCCGGAGGTGGTTTGGGGGAAGGCTGGCAGTGGCCAGGCTCCTCCTCTGTCATCCCTGAACCTGGGGCTGTGCAGGGAACAGCAGAGAAGGACTGGACAGATCAGTCCTTGAGGACTTATGTGTACTGGAATATCCTGGGTGGGCTCAGTCCTCCTCTTTATCTCATGGAGGGGTGCAC